CCCCCCCCCAAGAGTCATCATCTTAGTGAGTAGTTTTTGAATAACTTGCTTTGATTCTAGTGGGCGAATACTGTCTGGTCCAGATGATTTGTTTGTATGGAGCTCACCTTTATCTTCAGAACAACTCGTTTTCTTATATACTGAATTCCTTTAAAATGGAGTAAAATTGTCTTCAGTTTTTGCATGTTATTTGTTATTTTCTACCTTTGTGAACACCTGTACACGGAATTTATGTCATGCATCTTCCAAGATTTGATGTGTGTATGTTTTTATTTGCTTCTTCAATGACATGAAATAGTTGGAAAGGAAAACAGAATCAGAAATTATTTGTTGCAGCAGTAGAATATGTAGATCATTGTATTTTGTAGAACATTGGAAAGGTTACAGACAAAAGCAGGCGATCTAGTGTTTTTGTCTTGCCTTACGGGTCTAACAACTTCGTTGTGATATTTCTTGAATGATCCGTGACATTTAAGTTCAACAGCATGCCAGGGTAGCTAAATCTAGACACCCACACCTGCCAGTGTAAAGGAATTCTTCCTGAGTGCAGTGCTTAATATACATCATTGTTTTCCCTTTGTGTTAATGAGTTTATTTCACAATGCTCAAAATAATAAGTAAAGGTTTATTCCATACTGAAAAGAGAAGAAAAACAACAACATTTTGGTTGTAGAGCCTTCAGAAGAAGTTGTACGTTGTTTCTTTTCTTCTCTTTTCAGCATGTAATAAACCTTTACATGTTCCTTTGCAGGCTATGCATTTTGATGTAGCTACCTACTAGAAGCAAAAAAAGAATAGTAACTTTTATTATAAGTGTTTATTATTTACTCTATCATTTCAGTTTCCTGTTATGTCTTGCATTTTCAAAAGGACATTAGCAACTCCATATAAACAATTAAGTCCTTTTCATATGTGGCTCTTTCAAGATCTGTGCTTCCTATCATATATTTAAAATGAAGGTAGTAGCTACATGCATGCAATACCTTGCTTTTCTCCAGATCAATTTTCAAATTTTGTAAATAGTTCAACAAATGTTAAAAAAAAACATTATCTTAATGTTGTTTTACTTTTTTGTTTCAGGAGGAATTGAGCCAGTTACAAAAGCAGCTTAAAGGCGAGCAACTACATAAAGATCTATTATTGGCAAAAAAGGAGAAAATACAGGCACAATGTTTAGAAATGGTAATATTTCAAAATTGAATGATTACTTAAAATGGTAAGGGACTGTATGTCATATAATGCCAATCACAAATAGGGGTTTGTACAAACGGACATTGGCATTTGTTTTTTATGAAAATACAAGGTTTCTCATGAAAATATCCTTCTTGCAATAACAGCACATAAAATGAGAATTGTCACATGACCTAGAAAATATATCAATAGCTTTTTTGTCTAATATTTTCCCAGTGTTTTGCTTGTCTTCAATTCCTTGTCAAACTCTTTCCATTGCATTTTAACATGAACACTTTCACTAGCACAAAATAAGCACATCAATTTAATAAACCTTTTATGACAGGCAGCCCTTCATTGATACACACTGTATTGTATAGAATGAGACAAAGAAACACCTTGACAACTGTTCACTAGTAATAACTTCCTTTTAAGAAGCGTATAAATAAATATATATAATAAAATATATTATATATAAATACTATGTAAGAGCCCATATCTAAGCAATTGCTACCCTTAATTTTGAGGTTAAATACCATCTATTGGTTCATTTCCTTGCTGCAATCATATGCATGAAATGATCTTTGAAAAATACTGGGGCTCTTAGCTGATGACATGCGATGCATACTTCCCTTTGTTTTTTTTGTTACATGCTGAACATTACTTTTACTGTTAGAAATATATCTGTATTTATGGCTAAAAAAACAGAAATATTGTAATGTGTTGTGGGGGGACTCTTGTATTTCCTAGTTAAAATTGCTCACACTATCGGCTGAGTGTACTGCATCCTGGAACACCCTCTTGAGAACATAGATAATTTAAGGGTACCTTGGAGGATCTGCTGGGCCTTTTTGTTTAGTTTTTTCAGAGGATGATCGACTTGATCTTATCTTGATCAAGTCAAAAGGGAAAGGAGCTGCCGTTAACATGCTTTGTGTCCTCATGATGGATAATTTGATCATGTTCTTCCTGGACAATCTTTTATATTCCCGCTCGTCTGTATGTTTTCTAAAGTTACTGCTAGAGATAGGACTTTCTGCAAACTTTGGCAGCAGTGAGCACATGCAAAAGACTCATTTAATGTTTTGAAATATAACACTGATCGCAATAGTCCTTTTCGCTTCGAAAAGGTCTACTTCACTTTTTATAGATTTTAATGACCTTAAACACCATTTATATCAATGTTTATTGACTATATCTTTGTATGGCAATGATGCAAAAGTGCTGAGAATGTAAAATAAAGGAATAATCTTGGCAAATTGAACATAAGGGATTAACACATGTCCTACAAAGGAAGCTTATAAATAACTATTTAAAAGGTAGAATTTACCACAAGATATAGACATTCTGATGGGTGGGCAATATTAAAGGTATGTAGTCTATATGCACAGTTTCTGAGACAGACACTAGAGGCCGCCTTTACTTCAAAAACACCCTTTGTAACTGGCATAAACCATACCCTTATAGGGAGAAGCATTTTCACAGCAATAGTCAGGGGTCGAATAAAAGTGCAGCTAGTGCTCAAGGAGGCTTTGATTTTTGTTTTAAAGAGTTGTTGTGAGAGACTTTGGAAAGAGTAGAAACCAAAGTGTAC